ATGTATCTATATATTTATATATTTATATTTATATTATGCAAGCACATTATATAATTGTCTTGCGGATAATCCAATGCAATAATATAGGGAGTTGCGTTTGTGAACATAGGTACAAATAGATCGCTCTCACGCGAAATAATTGTCTGTATTGAAAACACTCATTGTCCATCACTCTAAAGATTTGTATTGAATTATGAAAATTCTGTATTTTAATCTCTCATTTCCAATCGATTTATATGACGATTTGGGTATAATCATAATATGTCCATATTTAAGTCACTCAATACCAATCGCTATATACAGATATTGGGTCTGTATTCAAATTGCTCTGACCGCAAAACTGTTTCCTGTTTCAGGCGACTAACGATGATGTGATCAAGGAGACACAGAGCATTCGATGTCAACTACTGTTACGGGAATACCTCTCTGATGTGGTACAGAAGGAGAGCGCATTCGATGAGGCTATGGCGACCACAGTTGTGCAGGACTACTACGATGTTACCATGGAAACGGTGGGTACAAGTGGAATCTAGCAGTATGTGTATATGTGTCTACTTCAACCTTATATGTGTCCGTATGTATTTAGTAGTATAGAGTTGGATCTAGCAGTATGTGTTTATATGTGTACTTCAACTTTATACGTGCCCGTATGTATTTAATAATATTGTCTATATACATGCATGAGGCGTATTATGGCTACTACCACAGTTGTGCAAAACTATTCTGTCGTTACTATGGTAACCGTGAGTGTAGAATGGCTTTATCAGGATATATCAGATACACGGCATCTCCGACATCAGCAATTGACCAGTCAGTAAACCTGCTGTTACGTTGTCGCAAATTATTTACACATGTCTTTTATTCTGCTGTATTAGATTTCGCGCGATGCACGGCATCTCCGGGATCAGCAGTTGGACAGTCAACAGAACTTCAGCGACAATGTACTGGACGTACACATCGACCTCACAGAGCGATGGCAACACCTGTATGTTCAACCACCGCCTCTAGTATACTTATACAGGAATACCTTCAGGAACAAGGCTCTAGTATATGGATGTAATAGCATGTACATATGTGTGCATGTGTGTATAGGCGGTGGTGTGTGAGTCAGTGTGTAAGTGGTTACCCATTCTACATATGCTATATATAAACACCGACTTCACCGAACACGGACAACACCTGTGTGTTCAATTAGAGCCTCTGATACACAGAAATACACGAAGGGTATTGCTTTCTCATATACAGTTATATTCACGTACTAGCATAAATATATATATATATATGTGTGTGTGTGTGTCTGCAGTGCAATTAGTTTCTCATATACGTT